CCATAGCTATTCTTGGCTATTTTAATCCATTTTTAATTATCGACAGATGTTGTTCAGGCGATTGACAGCTGGTACTGCTAGAGTATGTCTGTCACTCTGTTACTTCAATCATGTAGCTGGGCTGAAAACTGGAAAATGCATACCAATGGATTATTCATACATAACGTAAATGAATGAGTTGGTCAAACGGGTGACTAATCAGTGCCTCCTATCAAACCGATGCTAGAAGATAATCTCGCTTGCAGAACTAAAACTTCTTCGTACAAAACGGTGTGGAACGTGAGAAGAAACTGAATAACTTTTCCTTTATGAGAACTAGAACCTTTATTAGGAAACGGTCCTAAGAGTAGCGGTAAATCTGCAATGAACCTCAGCGTTATCAGCTAAAGTTTCCTCGAATAGGAAGTATTACGGCGACGCCATGGTGATTACGGATAAGCTAGAATATACCATCAAATTCTATGGTGTGCTCAATAAGTCCTGTTTACCTTAGATATTGATCCAACCTCATTCTTCGTCCATAAACTTCGAGCATTCCCCCTTGTTATTGCCCAACCTGACCAGCTAGACTCCAAAGTTTTCAGTTTCATTGAAACACCTCGTAAATTTAACTGTAATCACTGGGAACCGAATTTCTGCTGTAATCTAAAATACGTGAACGTAATGTTCACTTTAAACCCATTATCTAAACTGTGAATTTCTCATCGCAGAGGTTTCAAAACTTTCCGCAGAAAAAACTCAGACCTTCAACTTGGGAAAACTTATCACACACGAAACCTCCCACGAGATTTGGAAGGAATTGAAATGGATTAATGCGCGTGAAGTGAGCATTGTAATTATTTACACTGTGAAACGCTTAATCACTAATATTCCACTTGATCATACTATTGAATTAATAGCGATTGGTTGCCTGGTTGGTGGTTCACTTAATAATCACACTCAGCTCTCAATTAATTTTATTAAAAAGTTACTAACCTTTCGCAAGATAGAAGCGAACCATTTCTCTTTCAATGGCGAGTTCTTCAAACAAACCAAGGTGATACAAATAGGCAACTCATTTTCCCCATATTTGTTGAAATGTATATAGAAGATTTCAAAATTACGGCCGGGAATATGAAATTTAACTTGTTTCCAAAAGTTTAGAAAGATATATTTACGATTTATTTGCCATCAATCGCAGTGGAAATGTAAATAAAGAGCTGAACCTTCTCGATAGCCTCTTCTTCCAAAGTATAGAACTTACCATTGGAAAAAAAATAACTAACGTCTAACCTTTCTCGATGTTTTATTAATCAACTATGGTGGTTGCTATAAAACTGAAATATCTAATCTTTAACTCATGCAATCATTTAAATTACAAAAGAGCTATAATTATATCTTTGGTGGTCAGAGCTCTTAGACATCGTAATGAAGAATTTCTTAAGGAAGAAACTGAACGCATTACCTTATGTGATAATAATAATTATCCTGTTAAGTTCATTAATAATGCCATAAATCACAAAATTAGTTATTTTGATCTTGATTGACCAATTTATTCGTTTACGTTGTATATAAATATAAACCAAATTTATGCATTTTTCAGCTTTAACACAAACACAGCAGCAAATTACTTATCTTCGGATATATTGCAACGTTTTGGGAAACTCTGCACTGCGGCAGAAATCAAAATTGAAAAATATGCTTATTATTGATTGCACAATGGTAGCTGCCTGTTCCCATGAGTTCTGTAATATATAGCGTAGAAGCTGACATAAATTTGTAGCTCCCGTTCCACTATTAATAAATGGTCAAAGATGATGGAAGACAGTAAAAACTGAATAAATATTAACAAAGGAGACAGCTCGAAATGAGATATTTTTTACTTTCTAAGGCGCGGATCATCCATCTTAGAAAACCGTCTTGTGATTGTTGAACAATCAACACTACAAGAAGAGAAGAAGAATATGGAATAACGCATAACTCCTGCAGAACCACATTTTATGCCATTTTTGCTATTGGCTAGATGACGCTTTCTCAAAGTTAGCTCGTCTAATGTTCGTATGAGAAAAAAGCAAAAGAAAAGAAGGCCACGCAACTGTTCCTTGCAAATCCGACCGGCAGAAGGCCCAGAGAACGGCCAAGAGTAACCTGGTGCAAATATGTGGAAGGAGTCTGTTCCAGACTTCATTTGACTTTTGCCGAAGCTCAGACTCTGGCACAGGATCGGGAACGTTGGAAGCTCTGTCTGACGCCTCTGCCTCCGCAACCAGAAAGGAGAAACGGCGATGGAAAATGAAGATGAAGAAAAAAGCAAAGCAAATTTACTCTATGACTGGCGACTAATTTATGTAATGACTTACATACTCGAGTTCTGTAAAGATCTGTTTTATAACATATGTCGGTAAGAAGTTGTTGAACCTTCTTATACAGTACTTTTTCCCACCGATGTATCCACCTTTAAAAGTGGTCTTCAGGTTGAAACTCGTGTGCACATTTGACAAGACCAGCAACAGCACCGCCGGCGAAAAATTCATAATATCTCAAAATCGATTACTTCGACAGAGACGATTAACGTTATTCTTTCATTCATTACCGTTAAATTCATAAATTAAATTAATTTTTAATAAATCATCGAAAACGGAAGATCACAACCTACAAGACGAGTCTAGTCGCAAAGAAACATGCACACTCGAGAAAGCTCGATACGTGATTTAACGATTCATAGACAAGCACTGGCCAGGAAGTGCAAACTTAACATACGCCCCTGGGAGCTGTATTGTTTCAAGACGTTCTTGCCTCTACTCTGGCTCCTGCACGTGATCAATAACAGTCGCATGGGCAGCGATGCCAATTGTTTTGCCTTGATCGACATTTGTATGACGAATAAAGACGTCATTCCTATAATCGGAACACTATTTCTTTCTTTGAACTATTGCGCATATGATCTAAAACAAATACATGGTTTTCAAGTAAATGGATAAGCTTAACCTGAATCTCCTAGAAGTCAAAGGGCTCCATTTGAGCAGACCTCGCTTTATGGCATTTGAGCACCTGCAGTGCCAAATGCACCTGGTGCGACTTTGTCGCTAGAGCCATCCCAAGCTCACTACCGGGGATGTTTCAGGAGCTGGTATTCGTTGTTTGCTACCTCATGAACATCAGAGTATCCTCATGCGCTAGAGTATATTCTGTGGCCCACAGAACTACTCTCAGACCAGGCTCCATTGCACTCCTCCATTGGTCCTACTTGTCTAGAGGGCATTCAAGCAGGCTACAGTTCCATGGTAAAATACACCGTCGAATTTGGCGGTTGAAAAGTTATGTGCCATTAAACATACTCCGGCGTGGGAAAACATATTGTGTTTAAAAGAGTAGGGATGTGCCTAAATCCGTTATTGCTGCAGCTTAAACATATCTTCATCTTCCATCGCCGCTTCTCCTTTCGGGTCGCGGAGGCAGATACGTCAGACAGTGCTTCCAACGTTCCCGATCCTGTGCCAGAGTCTGAGCTTCGGCAAAAGA